CATTTTAAATATAACATCAAATAAATCACTACAATTGAAATTTTAATGATGTATTTTACATGCGCTTTAGTATGTTAATCAACACATCAAAATAAGTGTACTTCTTTAAAGCACGACTAAAGCCAGATTATTAAAACATAATGATTTAAAATGTGCATAAAGTAAAACTTTTAATTTGACATTATTACAAAGTGCACTTTAAAAAAGTGTACTTGAGTGTGTTAAGGAATAAGAAAATGTCTCATTTTATGTACACTTAAGTGTCCTTTTATTTCTTTACTGTTATCTGCAAGTACAGTTTTTTTGGAAAAAACACTTTTAAGATTTGAAGAACACAACAAGTGCACATTCAGTACAATTAAACACACTCCTTTTTCACAAGGGAGAGCAGAATGCTTGATGTCAGGATGCAGAGGAGAAAACGCTGCAGTTTATTTAATTGCTAACAGATGAAGGTGCCCGAGAGAGGTCAGGGGTCAGGATTGCCATGGAAACTGCATGTGTTTAGGGACTGGGTGGGGTGTTTGGGGGCTAGGACGGCAAGAGGTCATAGTTCATAGGTTGCTGCTGCAGCTTTTTTCAAACAAAGGCCGTCATTGCCTTCTGCACGCTTGGCCTGCTGTCCGTCCGTGTCGCGTGATGAAGGCCTCGGGTCAGTGCCTGTAAACCACCAGAAGCCACTCTAGTGTCCCCCAAAAGTCCCCTGTGCCCTGCAGTCACCCACATGACCTCAGCTGAGTGGACATCAATGCAGCAGCGACTGCCCCATACCAGGCACCCATATGCCACTGGGAGCTCCGCACATGGCCCTCCTCTAAATAACTGTGTAAACTCTTGACAGCCTGGGCATGAATGGACATTCAGGAAAACATGTTTCAAAATACAAAAAAAAAAAAAGCAATGTTTTATTTTAATTGGAATATTTGCTCACACTGATGGCAAACATTAACCCTATAAAGCCTACACATCCTATTTGATACACAAATTTCTGAGGCCTGATCAAATCTTTGCTGAAAAAAAAAAAACATTTTGTACACAATATACTACATGCCTTCTGTTGCCTGATTGATAGTTTAGACTTTTTATCAAAAGGTCTTTTATTATAATTGTACAAACGTCCACCTTCAGCTAGTGCTTTGCGTGTCTTTTTGCTCTGAAATCTACTGATTTTTATAAAGTAAGCATAAGTATAACTTTGATATTGTTAGTAATATTTCAAGATGAACACTTACTTGACTTACTTGATTATCCATGCATCATTTTTTAGAACAATCACGTTCAAATGTGAGTCTCAAATATGATCATCAGGCTTTTGAGGAAAATGCATTTGTTCATCTCTCAGTCATCATTGCATTGCATAAAACTTTGATCATAAAATTAGTCATATAAATATCATTTTATTAAGACATTATTGGGAAATGACAACTGAGTGATATGCATTTTATATAAGAAGTCTTAGTTTTACTGTTACAAAGTTCTTACTGATTTACATTACAAGAATGGCATCTTATTTTTGTCCATATGTGACCCTGGAGCACTAAAGCAGTCTTAAGTCGCTGGGGTATATTTGTAGAAAAAATGTACCCTTATGACTGGTTTTGTGGTCCAGGGTCACATACATATAAGCATCAGCAGCTGCACCAAATTGCATATTTTGCCTCTGAATAAAATTGAGGTGTTTTTCCACCTTGAATATAAGCTCCATTTTCTGCTATATCATACTATATGAGCCATAAAAGCTTGAAGTATCAAACATGATACTCTAAAAAACACATATGCAAACTTTGTGTGTGTGTGTGTGTGTGTGTGTGTGTGTGTGTGTGTGTGTGTGTGTGCCACTACCCAATTTTTATTGGCAAATGAATCCCTTTTTTAGTCATTCTGTGTGTCTATTTGATGTGCACATGCCAGTTACGAAACTGTTTAGGAAAGAAACCTAATTAATTCTCACATAAAATACATTTTAGAATGACCTGATTTTTGATTGTTTGAAACACACTCAATCACTATTTTATATTCCCAAAATTGTTCTAAAAGTCAGAGTTCCATAAATCCCATCCTGGACTTTAACAGGATTTGAGTTCAACCTTGCTGTTAGACACTTAAGTGATTTTGTTCATAATGGTGATTAAGGAAAATTCTTATTATAATTGTCCCGCAGGTGTTATAATTGTGGCGGTCTGGACCACCATGCCAAAGAGTGCAAGTTGCCTCCCCAACCCAAAAGATGCCATTTCTGCCAAAGTGTCGCGCACATGGTCGCCAACTGCCCCGCCAAAGCCCAGCAGTCATCTCAGGGGTCTCAGGGAAAGTCTAGCGGTGTCAAAGAAGAGAAAGCGGAGCACAGTCATTCCCCAACATCCACCGGGAGCGCCGACTGAGACCGCAGAGAACGGTGGGACGACGCTTGAAAACCAATCATATCACTCTACTGGGGGAAAAAAACAAAAATGCTAATGCTGCTGTTTCAGGAACTCCCTCAGGTCAGAGGGAGCAACAGATGAGAAGAATGTAACTTTTTTTTATTGGTTTAACACTCAGGAATAGAGCTGCTCTCAGGAATTTCAGTACAATGTTTGGCGTACAGAAGTAGTTATCTCATATCTCATTGAGGGGACGTTTACACGACAAAACGGAAATGTTTTCCTTGGCGTTTTTTCTTTTTAAGTTTTGAATACAAACGTTGTCAAAATGATCCAAGACTGAAAATGCTGTATTATACATGCCAGGCCAGTAGTTGGCGATGTCACTTTGTAAAGAAACGCTATGCACCTGCACACATATGCATTCTTACATACTCACGCATGCCTACAGATCGAACACGTCATAAAATTTGCATTGCAATTTCACGTTTTTGTAGTTTACACAGAGACAACAATGGTATCGTTTTTTTCAAAAATGTGCTGTTTGATACCTGTTTTCAAATGTTTTCAATGTTTTCAAATGCAACGCCCAAAACGCATAAAATGTTTTCCATTTTTAGTTGAAAACGGCATCGTGTAAACGGCGCCCAAGTGATTTTTAAAGGTGTTTTCTCTACTGAGCTCGTCTAGAGTTGCCGTAAGGAATATACTCAAAACAAAGGTCTTTTCTTACAGATTATTGACTGATTGATGCATTTGAATGTTTCTTGTATTTCGTGATGCTTTTATGAAAATGTTTTGGTGGTGTTTTGGGGTGGGCTTGAGTTGGGGATTTGGCGATTGCCAATTTTGCAATAGACTGTCCTGATCACCAAGGACCAAATGAATGTTAAACCGCTGACCTGGCTCTCTCAACCAGCGGCTCCTTTTACACGTGTCCAAATCTGTCACTAGTGATCTGCGGTTATCTTCAAACAATAACTCAATCTATTAGACATGAAAGTACATAATCAATCACACTTTTATCTCTAAACTTCAGTCTACAGTCAAATCTGGGCTTGGAATTTGCTGTCTTGTCTTAAATGCTGCTGATCTGTGTGTCTGCTAGCAATATATTTTGCTATTTGTCTTTGACAATTGGCCTCAGGGGTTTCTTGGAGCAAGATAGAGAGAAATAAGTTATTCTTTTGAACAAATGTTGCCCATTCCTACGTCGATGGTGAAGACATTGGCTCCTTTCTCTAGCTGCCTGTATTGTTTGGAATGTATTTAACAGCCTTTTACTCCCATTTTACAGGAGAGCTGAAAGACATATTTAATATATATATACATACTGCTTATGTAAACCTTTTATTAGCCTTTACTCATAGTATTTATTTATAGCAAGCAACGTGTTCTGCATCTTCTCCACAATGTAAAAGAGACTCAGGCTTCTACCTCAAGTATCTCAGAATTATTTCCTAAAATACCTCAACCATCACGTGCCACGAATCAGCTGATATCGATGAATTGATTTGTGTGTGTTTGTGTTTTATTGCACTGATTTTGTTACATCATGGGGCATTGTGGTTTCTCTCTGTCTGTGCTGAAGTCTGCACTGCACTCTGCCTCGTCTTACAGATTTATGCTTTATTTTTCAGCCGCTATTTGACCTATAAATGCCTTTTACTTCAGTGTTGAATCAGGACTGAACTCAGGAAGTAGGCTATGTCAGATTACTCAAGGAGTGTGAGGAAGACACGATTTGTGACACGAATTGTATTATTCTATTATAGTTCCATACCATCATAATCATTCTAATTATTGACTTTTTGAGATTTGTGGATCAAACAGGATTGTATATCCTATCTAGAATGCTGTGGTTGCCTCTTACATAAACTGGAAACATTTCCGATATCTAATCCATTCCTTTATGCAATAATATTTAAGTTCATGTTTTGTTGTATTTAATAAAGAAGGAATCATAGACAAAGTTTTGCACCATTTAGATGTGTTCGTGCTGTTTTTGACTATCCTGTTGAACTTGGAAATCACTTCTTGAACATTTGAATGTAATGTGAGGTTTGGTTTTGTCAACTAATAAATTTAGTGGGATATAAGAAAAAGACCGGCTATGGCGACTTCTCTCAACATTTTATTTATGGGTTAATTTCCAGCCCTAAAACTGCCATGAAAATTCATAATCTTTTAAAGTGATAGAAGTAAACATAATTAGTTTTTGTTAGTACATACGATCTCTATAATAAGCTACATTTATTCTGATTTAATAGCTACATTTATTCTGATTATCCTAACTTGTATTCAGCCTTTCTCGGCGACTTGCGAACAAGCAGTAGTTTTTAACTAGAAAAAATATATATATTAGTGTGCGTATATTGCCAACTTGATGGTAAATTTACGAATTCAAATCAACCTCATGAATATCAATTACGCAATGTGACGTTCCGCCCGGTAGGCTTACCTGATTGGCTAAAAGACAGGCGTTGGTGAGTGGGCGCTGGTCAGTCTGGCCAATGAACGAATTTTAGGTTACTAAAAAAGGTCATAGGGGCTTGGGTTATGATTGGACCGTCCATGACGTGCGCGATGTCGTAACCGCTGCTAATTAATATTCATTAACAGCGTCTTCGCCTCTACTACAGGCTTTACGGTACCAACATGGCCACTTCCTCGGAGTTATGCTCTCTTGTGCTTATTTAAACGTTGTAAGACTATGATATTTTGATAGCGGACATATCACAACTTTAAAATGAAACTATCGCGAGTCACATCTCTGTTAATACGGGGGCGTCGCGTTTACCGCACAGCGGGTTTTGTCTGCGGAGAGCGGATCAGAGATGCAGCTGTCCTCCTTAAAAACAACTACTCTGTGTCTGCAGTCAGAGACAGAACTGCACTTTTGTACAGAAACCACGGCGAGCCCTCACAAGTCGTCCAGTAAGCATGTCATAACCATAGATAATAAGATGTTGACAGTTTTATAAAGTTAACAGCGTTTTCTGCATGACTGGCAGGTTGGAGTCATTGGTTCTGCCACAAATGGGACCTGAACGTGTCCTGGTGAAAATGCTGGCGGCTCCCATCAACCCCTCTGATTTAAATATGATTCAAGGCAAGAGCAAAGCATGTAATAAATTGAATAAATAATGCATTACCTAAGCAATGACCCTTAGTGGACAAATGCAAGCCATTGACGGTAAGCACAGGACGTAGTGTTAAATTTCTCCACAAAATCAAATGAAAAAAATGTGAAATTATATTTTGTTTAAAGACGTTTTGACATTTATGCATGTGTGATCTTATTTTAACAACATCTCCCCCAAAATTGTCATTACCATTACATGTCTGGATGATTCGTGTGTTGTTTTTATAATTTCCAACATTCTCAATTTTATTTGTTTATTTTTTATTTTTTTAGTGCCGTCAAATGATTAATCGCGATTAATCGCATTCCAAAATAAACGTTTTTGTTTACATAATATATGTGTGTACTGTGTATATTTATTATGTGTATATAAAGACACATACAGCTTATATTTTGAAAATATTTACATGTGTATTCATATAAATTATATCATATATTTAATATATAATCGTAACATATTTTTCTTAAATATATACATGCATGTGTGTGTATACTATTTATATACACATAATAAATATACACAGTACGCACACATATATTATGTAAACAAAAACTTTTATTTTGGATGTGATTAATCGCGATTAATCATTTGACAGCACTATTTATTTATTTGAAGCAAATCTAGATTAATGCTATTGTTGTTTTTTAGTTAATTTCAGCATTTAATTAATAAATAATTTTGTATTTAAGATGTATTTAATCTTTAAAAAAAACACAATAATAAGAACGAGATGTTTTTGCATTGCATATTTAGAATTGAGTGGAAAATATAGGCTATTTCTTTCCGTTAAACCAGGAAACTTTAAATTGAATGCAAACATCTTTCAAATATGATTTTGTATATTCACCCACTTTCGTTAAACAGGCACATATGCCATCCTGCCTGAGCTTCCAGCGGTGGGGGGCAATGAGGGTGTGGGCCAGGTCATGGAGGTGGGTGACAAGGTGAAGACACTCAAGGTGGGCGACTGGGTGATTCCAAGAGATGCCGGCATAGGTGAACATTCAGTTCAAGCCTGGTGTGGTCAATGTGATCATCAGTAGTTCTCAGTCTCTAACACCCCTGCATTGATCTGCACAGGAACGTGGAGAACAGCAGCTGTTTTGAAGGCTGATGATCTGGTGACTTTGCCTAAAGACATCCCTGTACTGTCTGCTGCCACTTTGGGAGTCAATCCCTGTACAGCTTTTAGGATGCTCACAGACTTTGAGGAGCTCAAACCAGGTTGGCAGCGCTTAACTCTATCCAAACCACTCATCGTACAACAGAGGTCTTTACTTAACTCTGTATTTTAGGAGACACAGTCATCCAGAACGCAGCTAACAGCGGCGTCGGACAGGCTGTTATCCAGATTGCTGCTGCTAAGGGCATTCAAACCATCAATGTTGTCAGAGACAGGTAAAAATTACTTTCAGGGAATGGTTCAACCAAAATGAAAATTTGCTCACCCTCAGTTTGTTTTTTTATTTTGAAAAGCCTGTGGATCCTCTGCAGTGAATGGGTGCCGTCAGAATGAGAGTCCAAGCATCTGGTGGTGTCTTGTGAAGAGAAAAGATGCGTCACTTTTGACCAAAATACCAGTCCATAATCCATAATAATGCTTCCTTCAGTGAAATTCCTTCAAACTCATCATGAAATCAAAATTTGATGCAATTTATTTTCTTAAAGCACTTGCATGGTTTTATGGTGGATAATTTATCAGTGCAGGTTTTTTGTCATTATGATGTTTCAACAAATTTGCTTTGCCTCTGAAATGGCTTTCCTTTTTGTTGGTGTCACCTAGTTTGTGCAAACATTTGGTTAATGTTAATCAATAGCCAAATAGCTATTTTGGTATAGTTTTAAACTACTGTTCATGTTGCCTTTCTAACATCTGGGTTGTCTGTAATCATTTTAAAGTAATTCATTCCTACTTGACATAATAGCACATAAGGATAGATTTGGAAAAGAAGCGTTGTCACTGGAATACATGGAGATGCACTGAGAGTGAACTTGACCTTCATCCTCCATGTCCCAGTTAAAAAGTCTTCTCAAATTTGGGTCTGCGCTTTTTAATGAAGGACTTAAAATAAGTTTCCCGTATCGGCTGCAAAACAGCTCTTTAAAGGAACACTCCACCATTTTTGAAAATAGGCTCATTTTCCAACTCCGCTAGAGTTAAACAGTTGAGTTTTACCGTTGTCAAATCCATTCAGCCGATCTCCGGGTCTGGCGGTAGCACTTTTAGCTGTAGCTTAGCATAGATCATTGAATCTGATTAGACCGTTAGCATCTCGCTCAAAAAGGATATTACGCAGTGCCTTAAAATAGTCCCCAGCTCGGTAACTTCCAATAAGCCTATTTTCAGGCGCTGCGTAATATCATTGCGCCTGCTGCACCCATGGTACGGCAGCAAAGTTCGTTAATTATTATGCCGGAATGAAAGTATAGTTCCTAGCCATATCTGCCTAGAAAATCGCAGCTTTTCATTTTCTGTCGGTCTTAGTACACAATGTAACTACAGAAGAGTCAAGTTTTAACTAGGAAAAATATAGAAACTTTTTTTGAGCGAGATGCTAACGGTCTAATCAGATTCAATGATCTATGCTAAGCTACAGCTAAAAGTGCTACCGCCAGACCCGGAGATCGGCTGAATGGATTCGAAAGCGGTAAAACTCAACTGTTTAACTCTAGCGGAGTTGGAAAATGAGCCTATTTTCAAAAATAGTGGAGTGTTCCTTTAAGACGAAAAGTGCAGAAACTTTTTATTGTGACTTTGTATTGATGCTGTTATTGTGTGAAGCAGCTTGTTTGTCATTTTAGGCCTGACCTGCAGCAGCTGTCTGACAGACTGACAGCACTGGGAGCCACACACGTCATCACAGAGGAGACACTAAGACGGCCAGAAATGAAGGAGCTTTTCAAGGTGTCCGAAACATTCTAGTCCTACAAGCATATTTGCTTTGTCTATAAGTGAATTCTGTGTTATAAAAGCAACATGTAAAAACATTCTGTAGCTTGAGAGAGATTCTGTATTTTTATGGTGTTCGGCGTTTGCTTTTAACAGTCGTGTCCTCGGCCTAAACTAGCTCTGAATGGAGTTGGAGGAAAGAGCGCCACAGAGCTGTTACGCCATTTACAGTAAGTGGCTACATTACTGAAACAGAGAAATGAAAATGTAAAAAACATATAGTGTAAACAGTGTCCAACTAATTCTTTAGAGAGATTTGTTCTAGAAGAGTTTTTATATATATATATATATATATATATATATATTTCCATAAAGCATTCTAAAGCAGTTCTTGTAAGTTCAAACTTCCAAGGGGCAACAGAATATTGTATTATATTTATTATATTATATTAAAAAATGTAACTTCAAATAATAAAACACATAAAATCAAGATTAAATCATAGCTCTTTTTCCCCCCTCAGTAACTAACATTTTTAAATGAAGAACATGCGGTTCTTTAATCTTCTGTTAACGTCTCAAAATGTATTTAATTTAATATAATAACAATTCCAGTAACGGTAAAAATGAAAACAAGCAGCCTTGTCATGATTACAGCAGAAATAGAGGAAATATCTTCTTCAATATAATAGGAAACCCTTGAATATTTTGTTAGATGTAGAGATGGTGTGAAAATTTTATATCATGATTATTATGACCAAAATTATTATGGTGTCTGCATTATCATGGTGTTGTTAAAATGTGCTGGAAGTGTTCACATTTAGTTCATATCAACACGTTTTAAATTTTAAACCAACACTATGAACGTTGTGTAATAAAATTAACATTTTGACAAACGTTTTAGAAAATGATAAACCTCACATCTCAGCATTTAAAAAGTTTTTTTTTTTTAAATAAATCAAAATTTAAAATGATCACACTTATAAATGATTTCAGGTATTATTATTTATTTGAACTGTTTAGACACTGCATTCCACATTACCCCATTTTTCATCAATCAGTTAAAATTTACAAAACTGTGTAAAAAGTAGTCCAAATTCGCTCTCTTGATCCTCCGTTTTCCGCAATATTTTCACAGAAATCACAACCGACGTTGCATGCTTGTCTGCGTGAGCCTCTTGCTAACTTTGCTTAATGCTGGGCAGTATTGCTAGGTAAATATGACATGTGGGGGCGTGTTAGAACGAGCCGTTTTAGGTAGGCGTGGCTGACTCTTAACTTTTATAAAGAATATCTCTTTGGATTTGAGACTTTAGTCTTTGCAACTTTACAGATCTTCTTTATGCACCAAGAGCTTATAACACTCCAAAGAGAAAGGAAAACTTGAAATCGCATCATATGACCCCTTTAATGCTAATTAAAATGTGAAACAGTAAAATTTGACCTTGGTTTATCGTGAAAACTGGTAACCGTTGCATCCCTAGTTGGAAGAGTTTCTTCGCATCTGGTCTGAAGCATGAACCAAACCAGCCAGCGGAACAACATTACAAACTTTGATTTGATCAGTTAGGGCCCTTGATAAGCACTGTGTATGAGGTCTGTAAATGAACGAATAAGGTGTCTGTGTTCCTCAGAAGTGGAGGCAGCATGGTGACCTACGGTGGGATGGCCAAACAACCAGTCACTGTTCCAGTGGTGAGCTTGACTGTCGTTTCAAAGATGGCCGCCGAGTGACATGACTTGCCTTAAAGAGACTTTGACTGTCTGCTGCACTGGATCAACCTTGATATCTGAACTGTATAATTATAGTGGAAGATTTATATAGTCATGATGTTCCTCTAATATGGTGTACTTTGATACAAATATGATGCTGTCTTTAGAGTGCGCTGATCTTCAAAGATGTGAAAATAAGAGGTTTTTGGGTGACCCAATGGAAGAGAGACAACAAACATGGTGAGTGTCTCCAGTCTTGTGTGTTCATTGAGGCTGTCATAAATCGTGCTAATCTAAAACACTCATTGACACTTTTGTGATAGATGAAGACGCCTTGCGTAACATGCTGGATGAACTCTGCATCCTGATTCGTGCTGGGAAGCTGTCGGCTCCAGCTTGCACTGAAGTGTGCCTTCAAGACTTCAGAAAGGCCCTGGAGAACACCATGAAGCCGTATGTCTCCACCAAACAAGTTTTTGTCATGTGACCTCATTTGTGTGTCTCGCGTGTTTTCACATGCGTTTGTTAAGATCTGCATAATCGAATCCAGTTAGCTTTATCAGCTGTTTTGGCTTTGATTTTGAATGCATTGACATTTATTGGATACTTGGTATTTATGAGCATCATAAGGATTGTCAGTCCATCAGACGTCACTCTACATTTATTGTGACTACATACAGATAACCGGATAATGTACAGAGTATGAGTTTGACTAGTTGCAAGAAAGCCTGAGCATTTGTTTCATCTCAAGCATTATTGTTGCTTTATCACATGGAGTCAAACACAAAAATCCTCATATGGGGCATATGTTAAAGACAGGCATTCATGTCATTTATAAGGCCCTGTAACAGACCGAATAATGAGAAATAATGACATGTTAAAAAGATAAACAATATTTTTTCGAGGTGGACACTGTTTTAGTTCTGTAAGAAAACATGCACTTAAACTCTGATGGAAACACATTTGTCAATTCAATTCCTGGATGCCTCAACTGATGTGGTGCAGATAATTGATTATGTAGGAAAAAGAGTCTCAGCCTTCCCCAGTTGCAGCAATTTTTTTTATTATTATTTTATTATCGATACTTTGCACCAGTTTCCCAGAAAGTGATTTTGTTCTCTTGAACACATGAGATGAATTTTATTTGCAGATGTTTTATGCAGTATTCGATTTTTTTCCACACAAGTTTATTTTGCAACTTTACATGCAAATCAAAGGCTACTGTTTTGTGAGTACTGTACTGTATTCTTGGTCATAGTGAGTGTTCGTACTGCTGGATGCCCTAATTACTGCTGGACTCCACAACTGTACATACTATGTAGTGTGAGGAAAAAATGTTGATGAATGCATTTAAATATAAATTGCAGGAGTGCATAATTCATCATTATGCATAATTTATCATTATCATTATCAAACCACTTTTGACAGTCTTTCACGCAAAATAAAAAAAAAATCTTGTATACGAACAGAGACAAATCAGTGTAAGCTTGTTTCTGACGTGGGATTAAAAAAGCATTACATGCAACTTTTTATCTTAAAATAAAGACAGTCAGAATTCTGCAGTGTTATTGCAGAGAAGCCATTTCACTCAGATATACAGTATGTCTCAGTAAAGAAGAAAAGACAACTGCAATTTTTATTTACCTTCACGTCACTCCAAATTTCTGTGGAACACAAATTATGTTTTTTTTTTTAATGTTTGGGACCCCCAAAAAACATTTTAATTTTGGGCTGAACTGAGAGACAGTTCAGTAAATATAAAGAAATCATGATAGATCAAGTTTATGAACAGCACGTTAAATACTTTAAATACTGCTGAGAACATGTCACTGACGCTCATGCACCGGTCTGAAGGGATCACGTGACAATATTGCAAAAACGCTGCTGTTCTGTGATCAGTTGAAACACAGCAGGCTCAGCATCAGTGACAGCAGCAGAGTAAACAGCACTGGAGCAGTGAATGATCCTCCCTCCTTCACCACGCACTTCTCATAGGCCTCAAAGTCCACTTCCCTCATCGCGCACACGTGATCGACGCGACAGTCAGCGTGGCACTCCGTCAGGTCATAATTCACAGAGTTGAACTCGTAGTACTTCTGCAGATAACACTTGTCGCTGGATATCCGCTCCATCACGCGGTGCATAGAGGCGGGAGAGGCGTCGGGCACACGAAACGCCTCCGTCAGCCGGTACTCCTTCTCCCAGCGCTCATGTACCACATTTGAGTATGTCAGGTTCATATAGTAGGTGATTATATCCTTCAGGAACACAAAGCAGCAAGAATAGAAACGTGTAAATCAGGGCTATTATAGCAGTATGTAACCTTTTAAACCTTAATTTGCAACAGTAAGCTTATAATAATTTAAAATGTGAGGTGTCGGGTCCGATTTCACTGGAAATTGACGTATGTCATTCTTCTTTGCGTGGTTACGTCACGTCCGTAAACAGAAAGAAGATCCGGCTATTAAAAGTTGTGTGTGGAGCGTTTGTAGCTTGTTCTTGCAACAGTTGCTTAGAATTTAAATATGTCATCTAGATGGCTGCTTTAATCTGTTAAGTTCTAAGCGGTAATAACTGTTAAAGGGTTAGTTCACCCAAAAATGAAAATTCTGTCATTAATTACTCACCCTCATGTCGTTCTAAACCCGTAAGACCTTCATTCATCTTCGGAACACAAATTAAGATATTTTTGATGAAATCCGAGAGCTCTCTGACCCTTCCATAGACAGCAAGGGTCCTACCACGATCAAGGCACAGAAATGTAGTAAGGACGTAGTTAAAATGGTCAATGTAGAAATCTGTAGTTCAACCGTAATTTTACAAAGCTGCGAGAATACTTTTTGTGCGCAAAGAAAAGGGTCAGAAAGCTCTGGGATTTCATCAAAAATATCTTAATTTGTGTTCCGAAGATGAACGAAGGTCTTACGGGTTTAGAACGACATTTTGGGTGAACTATCCCTTTAACATCTGGGGAACCTGTTTTCAAAACTAAGAAACCTCAAACGGTGGAGGGTCTGCAGTTAAAAACGGAAAGCGACAAAAACCTGTGCTAAAACGAAGGTAAATGAACAACTCTGAGAATTTTTTTTTCTGCTGAACAGGTAAGACATTTCATCTTTAGAACACTTATTAGCTTGATTCAGATAGGTATGAAGCTTCTTTTTTATAAATGTATTTATTTTTCGTTTGTTTTATTATTATTACTATTTTATTTTATTTTAGTGATGTAAATTTCACTTATCTTCTTGTAGCTATGAGAGAGAAAGTACCGTGTGATCTGATCTGGCTGAGCAATATAGATATTTTGATTACTTGTTCAAATGATATATTTTTTCGGATATATGCCAAGTATGAAATATGTGGACGTACAGTGACAGATCCGCTATGATGGTGATCACAGATTCATCTACGCACAGAAGCAGTGCCAAAGCACAACCCATGTAAAATAATAAAAAAAATTATAATAAATAACCCCAAGCGTGTCTTGCATTTTTATGTTTTAAACATAGATGGCGATAGAGAGGCAAAAGTTATGTGCCGCAGCTTTCATTAAAACTAAAACAATAAAAATGTTATTTGAAATAAAACATATTTTAGCTTATTGTCGAGACAACATTTCTCATTTTTGTTTAGTTTACCTTGATGTAAAATATCTCAAACTTATCAATAAAAGCAGTATAGACATATATAAAAAAACTAAAACTAAATAAAATGACTAAAACTTTAACTAAAATGAAAGTGAAAACAGAAAATAAAATCTAATTCAAAACATTAACAAAAACTATAACAGGCCTAGTGATACTAAAACAACACTAGTATAACTATGTATAAAGTTTGCAATAAAAATACACATTTCTTCATGCAGACGGGTCTTACCTTGATCAAAAGTGTTTTGGTGTCATACTCAAACATGCGAATTCCAGGATTATTTCCACCATCTATGACACCAGGTAATGTTGTTATCCAAGGCGTCACTCCTGGAGCCAGGAACATCGCACTTATGGGAGATCCTGTAAAAGGGTATTAATGGCTTCCATTTTACAAACAATTTGTGAAAGTAATCTTCACTCTCAGAAAAAAAAGCCATCACTGGGGCGGTACCCTTTCAAAAGGAAGGTGCAACCCATTGAGTTACTAAAATGTACCATTGAAGTGCTAATATGCACCTTTTAGGGATAAATAAGGTGTACCATTTGAAAAGGTACACTCTCAGAAAAAAAGGTACAAAAGCTGTCACTGGGGCAGTACCTTTTTCGAAAGGTACAATTTGTGCCTTTTAGGTAGTAATATGTATACTAGCGTACTGGCTATTGGTACTGGTGTGTATATATAGTGTTGTTGTTTGGTGTGGCTGCGTTTTGTGAGTGCTGCTCGTCTCAAATTGTGTAAGGCAATGTTTTTTTGTTATTAATAAGCTTGCAATCACAAGACCACTACCCCTTTTCATATGTTATTTTTTTCTCTTTCTGGTTACCATGGATCTTTTTCACACCTCGTCACAGTCACAACTGCACCAATTGAACTGTTTTTCTCAGCTAGATTTTTCAACATATGAATGGTGTAAAAGTCTTGCAATTGCTTGTCGTCCTCGTTATATTCACTGGTCACCCAAGCACTGGTTGATTCCTGACTTCTCCATCTTTACTACCTGTGATATGGTCAACTAGAATGAAGTGTCACTATAACATGACTCGCATGTGTTGTCATTACGATTATTTAACTGCTCCCGTTAGAGACTGAGCGTCCTCGAATTCCAATCTTAAATATCAAACATGTTTTGATAAGGCATTGATAATAGCATTGATAAACACAAATGTCACTTTTTCCCGTGGAGTGCCTCAAGGATCTGTTCTTGGCCCACTTCTATTTTTTATTTACATGCTTCCTCTGGGTCAGATCATTCTGTGCCATTGTCTTACATTTTTAGAGTTACACTGAGGATACGCAAATTTATTGCGTATTTATAGTCCAATTCTATTTTCCTCCCTCTTCTTTAACATGTTGCCTGCATGATCTTAAAGTATGGATGGCTCAACATTTCTTTGAATATTGAATACAGAAAAAACAGAACAGTACATTATATGATCTCTGTTTGCTCTCAATAACCCTTTTAATAAATAGGTTTTCCACTTTTCTAATTTGAAAGGTAATTCTAATGCTAAAAGATGCACAACATGTGGCAGAATTAGTAGCAGAATTGAAATGACCTTTTGAGCTGTAGAACATGCGGATGCTGTCAGTGTGATGATGACCGAAGAACTGGCCCTGTATAATAGCGCTGTGCTTCTGTATGAGATCTATATAGCGCTTATTAAACTCTTTTCTGAACCAGGCTTTATCTCGTTTCTTCTCAAAAAACCCTGGAGGGACGTGGCCAATAATGTAAACCTGGGTAAGACAGAACAAAGGCTCTTTATGTGCAATAATGACACATCGATAAACTGACAAAACTATAGGTTTCGCTTCCTCGCTGTAAGATACGACTAACCTTCTCATTATTTTTAGCTGCGTCCTGAAGCACTTTATCAGCCCAACTGAACTGATCTGCAGGGTCTTTGATATTTTCTGTGAGTTTGTTCTGATCGTAATAGAGGTTCGTATTTAGGACCACGACTCTGAAGCCAGTTTGATTCAGCAACTTCTCTGTGTAATATCCACCTGTGAAAGACATTAATGAAAGTTATATGACATTAGTTAAAGCTATATTATATAATTAATGTATTTCATAATATAGTAAAATCTGTAATATTGTCTTTGTGTCAGTGTATTGTTAATGGTGAGCTGCTTTAGTTTATACCTATTTTAAAGGTTTCTTTTGACGCCGCATGTAGCCAGTCATGCCACAGGTTTGCGGTTTGTTCATAAATGTTGTTTTTTTCTGGAGGCATTTGGTTCTTTGGATGGTAGTCATGATTTCCCATTGCAGAATACACCTTGGTATCTAAAGAAATACAAATGTGAAATGAATTTCATAGACAAACAGAACAAACAAGCAGTCAGCAGCCCATATGAAACACATACTAGGAAAAGTAGTTTTTATGATGTGGGTGAGATTGCCGATTATTCGCAGGACAGGTTCGACTCCCAGCTGCTCATCGGGCACATGAGGCGTATCATCTCTGTGAAAAAGAGTTAGAATTATATTTAATTATATAATCGATTATGTAAGAAATATATGACTTTAGTCAGACAGCTCACCTACCTACACACTCTAAAAAATGCTGGGTTGTTTCAACCCAACTTTGGGTCAAATATGGACTAACCCAACCGTTGGATTAAATTTTTAACCCAAAAGTTGGGTTAGTCCATATTTAACCCAAAGTTGGGTTGAAACAACCCAGCATTTTTTAGAGTGTACAGTACAGGCCAAATGCTTGACACACCAACTCATTCTTTATGATTATCTTTATGATTGGAAGCACGACTTATACTATATTGGACACTTGTTGGCTAATTTTCTCTCACTATTCATTTTATATGAATGCACATTTTTGTTGACGCTTAACGGTTGATGATTGTGAAGTCATGTGACCGTGGTGTAGTTCATTTAAAATGATTAGCTTTTATTTCTGCGAATTGTATTTAGATTTCAAAATTCCAAAAAGTTAAATTGTGAAGATTATCAATATGAACGAACGTGTAAGAACCATAACCTTTTGTTGGTCTCAGAGCACAGTAATCCAAAAGCCAATGGAAAAATCCTATTAGGTTTTTTGTCAGGTGAACCTGGCCAACAAAAACCCATCAACACTGCAGCACTCTACTGAATACACTTTAAACTTCAAACTAGGACAGTCTTATGAGTTAAGAGGGCGCTTGGCACAAACCCGGTCCAGATGATGAAGTCCGGGTCAGGCAGGATCCCTCTCATGGCACTCAGTGTTGAGTTTATCAGAGTCCATGGGGAGTCACAGGAATAATCTCCAAATCTGCCTGCGTTTGGGGTCGGACGGCCTCCACTAGAAGCACATTTTGATGCAGAGTTACTCCCTACATCATAAGAAGGATCCCAGTGGAGGTCTGAGATGTGCCAGAAATAACCTGTAGTGGAGAACAACTGTGATCAGCCTGCTCATATATTGAGCATGATATATCTCAAGACTACTGAGCTATTACAGACCTCAATTTAAATGTACAGTCCATTGAAGACTGAAGATTTCAACCTTAAATTTTCAACATAATTCACAAAAAATTGAAGCCTAAATTATGAAAAATGGGACAACTGTTTTCTTAATTTAGGCTTTAATTTCTTGTTAATCCTCTATCTGTCTGTCTGTCTATCTATCTATCTATCTATCTATCTATCTATCTATCTATCCGTCTGTCATCCATCTATCCATCCATCCATCCATCCATCTATCTATCTATCCGTCTGTCATCTGTCTATCTATCTATCTATCCGTCTATCTATCTATCTATCCGTCTATCTATCTATCTATCCGTCTATCTATCTATCTATCCGTCTATCTATCTATCTATCCGTCTATCTATCTATCTATCCGTCTATCTATCTATCTATCCGTCTATCTATCTATCTATCCGTCTATCTATCTATCTATCCGTCTATCTATCTATCTATCCGTCTATCTATCTATCTATCCGTCTATCTATCTATCTATCCGTCTATCTATCTATCTATCCGTCTATCTATCTATCTATCCGTCTATCTATCTATCTATCCGTCTATCTATCTATCTATCCGTCTATCTATCTATCTATCCGTCTATCTATCTATCTATCCGTCTATCTATCTATCTATCCGTCTATCTATCTATCTATCCGTCTATCTATCTATCTATCCGTCTATCTATCTATCTATCCGTCTATCTATCTATCTATCCGTCTATCTATCTATCTATCCGTCTATCTATCTATCTATCCGTCTATCTATCTATCTATCCGTCTATCTATCTATCTATCCGTCTATCTATCTATCTATCCGTCTATCTATCTATCTATCCGTCTATCTATCTATCTATCCGTCTATCTATCTATCTATCCGTCTATCTATCTATCTATCCGTCTATCTATCTATCTATCCGTCTATCTATCTATCTATCCGTCTATCTATCTATCTATCCGTCTATCTATCTATCTATCCGTCTATCTATCTATCTATCCGTCTATCTATCTATCTATCCGTCTATCTATCTATCTATCCGTCTATCTATCTATCTATCCGTCTATCTATCTATCTATCCGTCTATCTATCTATCTATCCGTCTATCTATCTATCTATCCGTCTATCTATCTATCTATCCGTCTATCTATCTATCTATCCGTCTATCTATCTATCTATCCGTCTATCTATCTATCTATCCGTCTATCTATCTATCTATCCGTCTATCTATCTATCTATCCGTCTATCTATCTATCTATCCGTCTATCTATCTATCTATCCGTCTATCTATCTATCTATCCGTCTATCTATCTATCTATCCGTCTATCTATCTATCTATCCGTCTATCTATCTATCTATCCGTCTATCTATCTATCTATCCGTCTATCTATCTATCTATCCGTCTATCTATCTATCTATCCGTCTATCTATCTATCTATCCGTCTATCTATCTATCTATCCGTCTATCTATCTATCTATCCGTCTATCTATCTATCTATCCGTCTATCTATCTATCTATCCGTCTATCTATCTATCTATCCGTCTATCTATCTATCTATCCGTCTATCTATCTATCTATCCGTCTATCTATCTATCTATCCGTCTATCTATCTATCTATCCGTCTATCTATCTATCTATCCGTCTATCTATCTATCTATCCGTCTATCTATCTATCTATCCGTCTATCTATCTATCTATCCGTCTATCTATCTATCTATCCGTCTATCTATCTATCTATCCGTCTATCTATCTATCTATCCGTCTATCTATCTATCTATCCGTCTATCTATCTATCTATCCGTCTATCTATCTATCTATCCGTCTATCTATCTATCTATCCGTCTATCTATCTATCTATCCGTCTATCTATCTATCTATCCGTCTATCTATCTATCTATCCGTCTATCTATCTATCTATCCGTCTATCTATCTATCTATCCGTCTATCTATCTATCTATCCGTCTATCTATCTATCTATCCGTCTATCTATCTATCTATCCGTCTATCTATCTATCTATCCGTCTATCTATCTATCTATCCGTCTATCTATCTATCTATCCGTCTATCTATCTATCTATCCGTCTATCTATCTATCTATCCGTCTATCTATCTATCTATCCGTCTATCTATCTATCTATCCGTCTATCTATCTATCTATCCGTCTATCTATCTATCTATCCGTCTATCTATCTATCTATCCGTCTATCTATCTATCTATCCGTCTATCTATCTATCTATCCGTCTATCTATCTATCTATCCGTCTATCTATCTATCTATCCGTCTATCTATCTATCTATCCGTCTATCTATCTATCTATCCGTCTATCTATCTATCTATCCGTCTATCTATCTATCTATCCGTCTATCTATCTATCTATCCGTCTATCTATCTATCTATCCGTCTATCTATCTATCTATCCGTCTATCTATCTATCTATCCGTCTATCTATCTATCTATCCGTCTATCTATCTATCTATCCGTCTATCTATCTATCTATCCGTCTATCTATCTATCTATCCGTCTATCTATCTATCTATCCGTCTATCTATCTATCTATCCGTCTATCTATCTATCTATCCGTCTATCTATCTATCTATCCGTCTATCTATCTATCTATCCGTCTATCTATCTATCTATCCGTCTATCTATCTATCTATCCGTCTATCTATCTATCTATCCGTCTATCTATCTATCTATCCGTCTATCTATCTATCTATCCGTCTATCTATCTATCTATCCGTCTATCTATCTATCTATCCGTCTATCTATCTATCTATCCGTCTATCTATCTATCTATCCGTCTATCTATCTATCTATCCGTCTATCTATCTATCTATCCGTCTATCTATCTATCTATCCGTCTATCTATCTATCTATCCGTCTATCTATCTATCTATCCGTCTATCTATCTATCTATCCGTCTATCTATCTATCTATCCGTCTATCTATCTATCTATCCGTCTATCTATCTATCTATCCGTCTATCTATCTATCTATCCGTCTATCTATCTATCTATCCGTCTATCTATCTATCTATCCGTCTATCTATCTATCTATCCGTCTATCTATCTATCTATCCGTCTATCTATCTATCTATCCGTCTATCTATCTATCTATCCGTCTATCTATCTATCTATCCGTCTATCTATCTATCTATCCGTCTATCTATCTATCTATCCGTCTATCTATCTATCTATCCGTCTATCTATCTATCTATCCGTCTATCTATCTATCTATCCGTCTATCTATCTATCTATCCGTCTATCTATCTATCTATCCGTCTATCTATCTATCTATCCGTCTATCTATCTATCTATCCGTCTATCTATCTATCTATCCGTCTATCTATCTATCTATCCGTCTATCTATCTATCTATCCGTCTATCTATCTATCTATCCGTCTATCTATCTATCTATCCGTCTATCTATCTATCTATCCGTCTATCTATCTATCTATCCGTCTATCTATCTATCTATCCGTCTATCTATCTATCTATCCGTCTATCTATCTATCTATCCGTCTATCTATCTATCTATCCGTCTATCTATCTATCTATCCGTCTATCTATCTATCTATCCGTCTATCTATCTATCTATCCGTCTATCTATCTATCTATCCGTCTATCTATCTATCTATCCGTCTATCTATCTATCTATCCGTCTATCTATCTATCTATCCGTCTATCTATCTATCTATCCGTCTATCTATCTATCTATCCGTCTATCTATCTATCTATCCGTCTATCTATCTATCTATCCGTCTATCTATCTATCTATCCGTCTATCTATCTATCTATCCGTCTATCTATCTATCTATCCGTCTATCTATCTATCTATCCGTCTATCTATCTATCTATCCGTCTATCTATCTATCTATCCGTCTATCTATCTATCTATCCGTCTATCTATCTATCTATCCGTCTATCTATCTATCTATCCGTCTATCTATCTATCTATCCGTCTGTCCTCGATCTATCTATCTATCTATCTATCTGTCCATCTATCTATCTATCCATCTGTCATCTATCTATCTATCTATATATCCATCTGTCATCTATCTATCTATCTATCTATCCGTCTGTCATCTATCTATCTATCTATCTATCTATCTACACATGTAAATTGTCTTAATTTATGTGTGTGTGTGTATTACTCCACTAATAAACTACGAAGCATTTTAAGCTTCACAGTTCAGTTGAGATCAAACAAGATTAAATGCTTCTGCTTTTGCAGACCAGTTCCTCTGCTTTAAGTCACTTTGTAGAAAGAAATTCATAAATGTAAATTGGAAAACAATTTTGTATACTACTACTAATACATTATTTTATTTAAAAAATATTGTAATAAAAATAAACAAAAAACAACAGCACAATATTTGTTGACCATGTGTCCACAGCATATGGGAGTCATTCTGCCTTTTTGTACTGACTAACAGTTACATAACTAGCTGTTGTTTTCACTTTTGTCTTCACACTGCCTTCATATCAGCTTTATGTCTTCCGTGCTAAAAACGACACATTCTCAAGCTCTAATGAATTCATAAAGGCGTTACACTGCTGAAAGGCTCTGCTCTTCAGTGTACTTCATATTGCTTTTTAAAAGATGTGCAGTATACAGTCGTTTATCTTAGCCGAAACAACTCAAAGCATTTAAGGACATACCTTTCATCACGTTACTTCTACCAGAGACGATGAAAATGTTGAGAAGAATAATTTTCCAAACACATGCCATTGTCAGATTCATCTAATGAGTGTGAGAGATCCAGAGACTCTGACCTGACTGCTGTTATCAAGACATTCATTCCACAGCCGTCAATAAACTGACAGATAAGAGAAGTCAGCTGGAGCAAATAAACGTGCAGGACGGGAACCAGCACGACATGAGCGCTTGTTCAAACATAGTTCTCCAGCTGTTACTATGTGTAAGGAGAAATAAACCTGTTGCATATTTGTAACGGCCATTTACTATGCAGTCAGCTTTCTATTTTAGTGTGCTACTATTTTGAAGGCATGCCTGTAATGTTCATACAGTAGTGGCTTGATTTTAAAATGAAATCTAAAGTCTCATGTGTGAAGCAGTAAGTTTTGTTTTTAAATAAGTTAATGTTATTATTCAGCAAGGATGCATTAAATTGATCAAAAGTGACAGTAAAAACATTTGAGACCCTGGGGTCAAAATTATAGATTTTTCTTTTATGCCAAAAATCATTAGGATATTAAGATCATGTTCCATGAAGATATTTTGTACATTTCCTACCGTAAATATATCAAAACTTAATTTTTGATTAGTAATATGCATTGCTAAGAACTTAATTTGGACAACTTTAAAGATGATTTTCTCAATATTTAGATTTTTTTGCACCCTCAGATTCCAGATTTTCAAATAGTTGTATCTCGGCCAAATATTGTCCGATCCTAACAAACCATACAACAATGGAAAGCTTATTTATTCAGCTTTCAGATGATCTTTTAATCTCAGTTTCAACAAATTGACCCTTATGACTGGTTTTGTGGTCCAGGGTCACATTTATAATGTTACAAACGACTTCCATTTTAAATAAATGTTTTTCTTTCAGTGAAAGCATCAGTGAAACTGTTTTCAACATTGATAATAATCAGAAGTGTTTCTTGAGCAGCAAATCAGCATATTAGAATGATTTCTGAAGGATCACGTGACACTGAAGACTGGAGTAATGATGCTGAAAATACAGCTTTGATCACAGAAATAAATTAGATTTTAACATATTATATTACAATAGAAAATAGTTATTTTAAAGTGCAAAATTATTTCACAATATTACTGTTTTTACTGTATCTATGATCAAATAATTGCAGCCTTAGTAAGCAGAAAAAACTTCTTTCAAGGACATTACAAAATCTTACTGATCCTAAAAGGCAATGTATTTTTATGTATTTCGAACTATTCCATTGTATTATACTACTGTAAAACAAATCAGTATGCATGTAAATTACATTTTTCTTTGTATGGCTTTTACGTATTTTCAATTCTTTGTATGAAGAAATTAACTGAGAATATTAAGAGCTGTACAGAAGTAAAGGCCTGGATTTGTAATCTCTGGTCATAGAGATATAATCTCTTCTGGAAGGCAAACTTATCATCTTTTATGCTTGCTTTCCTTAAAGGAACACTCCACTATTTTTACAAATAAGCTCATTTTCCAACTCCCCTAGAGTTAAACAGTTGAGTTTTACCGTTTTCGAATCCATTCAGCCGATCTCCGGGTCTGGCGGTAGCACTTTTAGCTGTAGCTTAGCATAGATCATTGAATCTGATTAGACCGTTAGCATCTCGCTCAAAAATGACCAAAGAGTTTCTATATTTTTCCTATTTAAAACTTGACTCTTCTGTAGTTGCATCGTGTACTAAGACCGACGGAAAATGAAAAGTTGCGATTTTCTAGGCCGATATGGCTAGGAACTATACTCTCATTCCGGCGTAATAATCAAGGACCTTTGCAGCAGTAACGGTCTAATCAGATTCAATGATCTATGCTAAGCTACAGCTAAAAGAGCTACCACCAGACCCGGAGATCGGCTGAATGGATTGGAAAACGGTAAAACTCAACTGTTTAACTCTAGCGGAGTTGGAAAATGAGCCTATTTTCAAAAATAGTGGAGTGTTCCTTTAACACTGAGGGCTGAGAGTCAGTTAACCTTTGTATGAGTCCTCTGAAGTAATCATTAACCTGTAATGTTGATAGTGATGAGCACATAATTACATGTTAAACATGTGCTATAGAGTCCACTCTAAACCTCAGAATTGAACAAGGATATCCAGTATAGCAGACATTTTGTGACGATAAAAGCTTTTAGTTTTTTAGCTGTAACTATAGGGTAGAAAATGAGTTCTCGGAGTCAGATTTCAGAGGAGGATCTGCTGTGTCCTGTGTGCTATGAAATCTTCACTGATCCTGTGCTTCTGTTATGCAGTCACAGTGTCTGTAGAGCTTGTTTGGAACAGTTCTGGAGCTCCAGAGGATTTCAGGAATGTCCAGTTTGCAGGAAAAGATTCACAGGATGTCAAACACCGGCTAATCTCGCACTGCGGAACGTGTGCGAGTCATTCTTACAGAAGAGAGGTTCATCTGAGGTGTTCTGCGATGTGCACGGAGAGAAACTCAAACTCTTCTGTCTGGATGATAATCATCCTGTGTGTTTGGTGTGCAGAGACTCAGAGAAACACCTGCATCACACATTCAGACCTGTTGATGAAGTTGCACCGCTTCTAAAGGTAAGTTGTATGTGAGTTGTAAGATTACTAGAGTATCTGTTACAAGAAAAAAGTATTTATACTTCAAAATGTCATGTTTTAACTCAATTACATATCATTTCTTTGTAATTATTGGTGACATTTACTAGCAACAATGAGTGGAAATTGTTTCCAAATTGTTACCATTTTTTTCTTTTCAGTGTACTACTTAACTTGTAGTTCCATTTATAGAGATGTTCACCAAATATATACATTTTAGTGCTTTACTCGTGTAATTGTTCTGGGTTCTTGTTTAAGAGTAATAGCATCTGACTTCCTTATTACCTATTAATTGCAATATGTTATTGCCTAGCCATCGGTGATGTATAAATATGGGCAATGATGTGCTACTGTTTCCGGGTTCTGAGTTTTCAGAATGAGTGGCTTTTGTAGCTTAGTTTCACTAAACAGTCTGAGAACTTTATTTCATAGTACACTGAACTTTCCAGAATTCAATGAAAGATTTGTTATCTCATGATACGTTCCATTTAAATTGGTGGTTCTCAACCAGGGGGCCACAGGGTTTCCTTAAAGTAATTTAATTCTATTCATAAAAACTTAATCCAGATAACTTAAATAGCATTTCTATTTCTGCTCTATAACTATTATTTTTTATTTAAAACATATTAAGATTTTTAAATATAAAAGGACAAAATGTATTGTGCTGAATTAATTTAATAGAACAACACTCTCAGTTTCTGTTAATAAAAATTTTGAAAACAAGCAGCATTGTCATAATTACATCAGAAAATACCAGAAGAAATATGGGGGATAACTACTACTGCTTTAAATGATATATAATACTCTTTTGCTTAACATTACAATTAGTGCCGTCAAACGATTAATCGCATTCAAAATAAAAGTTTTTGTTTACATAATATATGTGTGTGTACTGTGTATATTTATTATGTACATATAAATACACACACATACAGTATATTTAAGAAAAATATGTTACGTTTATATATTAAATATATTTATATATGATATAAATTATATGAATATAAATATATACATGTAAATATAGGTAAATATTTTCAAAATATATGCTGTATGTGTGTGTATTTATATATACATAATAAATATACACAACATACACACATATATACACATGCATGTATATATTTAAGAAAAATATGTTATGTTTATATATTAAATATATTTATATATGATATAAATTATATGAATATAAATATATACATGTAAATATAGGTAAATATTTTCAAAATATATGCTGTATGTGTGTGTATTTATATATACATAATAAATATACACAACATACACACATATATTATGTAAACAAATACTTTTATTTTGGATGCGATTAATCGCGATTAATCGTTTGACAGCATTAATTACAATTAATGACATTCCACTGATTTAACAAACACCAACTGATTATTACATTTCAGGAGGAATTGAAGACGTCATTGAAAGATTTACAAGAAAAACTCAAGAGCTTTAAAGAAATAAAACAAACATTTGATGATGCATCACACCACATTAAGGTGAGAACTATACAGTAAAATATTCTAGATAAAAGCATTTTCAGAAAGATTCAGGTAGAAGGGATGTGAGAATCTTTGTATTTGATACAGGCTCAGACTCAGCAGACCATGAGATGCTTGCAGGAGGAGTTTGAGCGGCTTCATCAGTTTCTGCGAGATGAAGAGATGATCAGAATATCTGCACTGATAGAGGACGAGAATCAGAAGAGTCAGATGATGAAGGAGAAGACTGAACAAATAGACAGAGAGATCGAATCTCTTTCAAACAATATTGGAACCTTAAAAAATGATTTAGACGCTGCCGACATGCCCTTTCTACAAGTAAGAAATAACCTGTATTTTTAATGAAATGTTTAGGGATTGAGGGTTGAATAACATTTGTGTACATGTAGTTTATTTCCTCCTTTTGTGTTTTGCAGAACTTCAAGTTCTCAAAAGAAAGGTAAGCTGTTTTCTTGCTGTCTTCTCTCTGCAGTGCAGTTCCTGCATCTTTCTAACTCCTGAATGTTATCACAGAGCCCAGATCACACTGAAGGATCCAGTGATGCCTGCTGGAGCCTTGATGAATGTGGGAAAATACTTGGGGAACCTGAAGTTTGAAGTCTGGAAGAAGATGATGCAGATAGTTCAACTCAGTGGGTTTTACATTCATCTGTTTCAGTTATGTGACTTTTCATTCACAGTCACAATGAAAATATTTCATAAGTCCAGACAAAGTCTTAATGGCAATACTAGGCTTAAGCTCTATTTAACATTTCTCACTAAATAATGTACTTTTTGCTGCAGAATTTACTGGTCATTTTTATGTGTGCATGTTTTGTTTTGTTTTGTCACCATTTGTATGTAAAGTGTCCATTTATGTCAAATGTTAATTGTTTTAAGCATGTAGAAAATTACAGATAATCATCAATTCAGTTAATTTGTAACACCTGCATTGTGTGAACCTGTTCTGGGTTAGTCTACTTTAGGTCAGCATTATTTGCAATATTTTATTTGGTGAGCGGGTGATTAGACATGTAATAAATGTGCATTCTTCTAATATTAGAAAATTATTTAACACACAAAAAATTAAT